TCCGGCAGTCCCAGCCCCCGCTTCCCTGCGCAGCGGGATGCGGGGGGCGCCCTGCCAGCCCGTGGGGATGGAGTCCTCGCGTTAGGAAAGGAGCAGTTTGAGCAGCGGTGAGGACAGTTCACTGCCAGCGTGCCCCATTGGGGCGCTTTGTGGTCAGCACCCTGGGCTCTCTGCTCTGGAGCTGTCCTGGAGCAAGCTGTGAAATCAAATCACTGCTGCGCTCATTGACCATCTGGGGCCCTTGTAAGGGCTGCTGCTTCTCAGGGTGCTGCTCTGTGGGCTCGGGGGTGGGAGCAGCCGTGCGGAGCTGCCTGGTTTTATTTTAAGGTAAAGAGAAAATCAAATAAGCCAAAAAAAAAAAAAAACCCCTCCTGACAACCCGGCCTGCAGCTGCTGCATGTGAGCACAGAGCAACTCGCATGAAGCACCAGTGAGCAGGGCGCTCCGGAGCACCCAAGCACTGACAGCACCAAGTAAACCTCAGCACGAGACTCCTCCTACCTGGGGCTAATGCCTTCAGGCATCCACTGACCTCTCTTCCTGCAGGATGGATTAAAAAAAGAAAAGAGGAAGAGGGAGGGGGTGGAGGCGGGGTGTTTTATGGCAATTTCCCCGCTGTGCGTGACACTGCACGCAGCGGGCCGGCTTCTTGGCGCGCTGCGCGTGTCACTCGCACCGGTCCGTCACGCTTCGATTTCTATATGTAATTTAGGCTCCATTAGGAGCACAGAGGCGCGTCGGGAGGGTAGCGGTGCAGCTGCATTGAAGGACTAAAAGTGACAGTTTTTCAGACCGTCTGGGGGAAGACGAGCACCTGGGCAGTTTGGACTAGACGCCTCATTTGCCTGAACTAATTTACAGTGAAAGTCAAGTGGCCTCGGATGTGTTTGCAGATCTCTTGCCACGATCAAGGAGGTGCCCTTAGCACGAGGTGTTTTTATATAAAGGCATTTTTGCCGGAGAGCTGGTGAAGGCACCTCTGGGTTCTCCATCTCCCGCTGAGGCCGCAGGTTCGTGTTGAGGATGCACCAATGATACCTGTGACCTTGAGCAGATCCATAGGTGTCTCAGCGACACGTGTACGTGCTGAATATTGCAGGACTGAATGCAAATCAATCCGGAGAACTGCAGTCATGTTGAAATCAGAGCCGTGTTCATGTACGTCTTTGAAAACTGACGACTGTAAACATTCTTTATTGTTATTATTAGCCCCGTTGTGGTACTAATACTTGTGGTACTAAACATCTGTGTCCGAAAGGCATTTTTTCATCCTTTGCAACACAAGAAACGTGTTCCCAGCATTTTCTACTGACGGCGTTAAACCGCTGCTATGATTAATGCAGCAGGAAAAGCTCGAGTGACAGAAGCCTTGTCAGCACTGAGTTACATTAACCGGAACCACCCCTGGAAAACAGCACTCGCTCTGCAGCTCACGAGCAGAAAATAATTTGCGGAGACAGTTCATTTTGCAAGCAGCAAGGGCAGCAGCTGCTGCTGGGGAGGTGGGAAGGGCCGTGTCGCTGAGCAAGAGGGCGCCTGGACACCGACCGACCGCCTCACTCCTGTGCGGGGCTGCCTGAAACCTGCCTCCTGCTGCGCGTGGGAACCATCCGTTCCTCATGTTTTTCATGACAAAAGCAAAATAACATGACTTTGTCACAGTGTGCAGAATAATCCTGCTGCTGATTGCTCCCAGGTATCTACATCTGGTTGGTAAAGGTACAAATCTGGCAGCCCTGGGAGCTGCTCACGCCGCTCTGGGCAGCACCGAGGAGCCTGAGGTCGCTTGGGCTTTTCCACGGACTGAGGTCACCCCGCGGGGCTGCAGCCCTGGGGCCACGAGGCCGCCGGGCACGGGCGCCCTCGGCCAAATCAGTGCAAACGGTGGCTTCAAAGGGAAGGGGAGCGGGCAGGAACACTGATTTGCTGTCACGATGTAAACCCAAGGCAAAGAACCATTATCCTTAAAAATTAGACCATTAAACACCACGTTTTGGAGACCTCCTGGAAACAGAGGGTTTTCCAGTGCCCAGAAGCGGGAAGGGGCCATTGCCATTAACACCAAATCAATGTCTGACGGGCAGCTGGGAAGTCAGCTCTGGCCATGGGGGATACTTCCAGTTGAGTCATTTAAAAAGCAAAATGTGACTCCTTACCTTCTTCTTCTTCTCTATCTCCCAGGTTTATCATGTTTGATACACTATCATTTTTCATTTTTATCATTAAAAACTATGCAAGAAGGCTCTGTTGTGTATTTTAGCTGATGTCCATTTTCCAGCCAAATGGAATTTCACCTCCTTGCAACAAAACTATGTCTTTTAGCAAAGAACTGCACCCGTCACAATTTCCTGCAGTAAGAAGTAAGCGCAAAAGCTGGTCCTCCTAATAAGTGTGAACCTATAACATCAATTAAAGAAATGTGTCAGAAATAATACATCCTCTGCTTCGTTTCTGAAAAAAAAATCACATTTAATGTAGATGTTTTATCTGGTTGCAAATTAAATTATTTTAATACCACCTAACGAGAGCTAACAAGAACCATTTCATTGGGAGATAAAACTACACAGGTTAAAAAAGAAATTGAGGGCAACTGCAAGCAGTTCTGTTCAGCAGGAGCTGTGATCTGCCTCTTCTCTGGGAGCATTCGGTTATCCTGGGTTCCTCCAGAGGACACCCTGCATGGGAAGGGCAATGCTGGGAGCTGCTGTCTCCTTCTCTCCTTTTTTTTACCCCCAAAAGCAGCACCTTGCTCATTTTCTTGCATGCCTTTGTGAAAGTGCCCTTGGATTTTCATTTTACACCTCAATCCACATATGAAAGCGCCCAACGTTTATGCAGGGACAACATCTGCTGTTCGGATTTACAAATTTGGCATCCCAGGTGCCGGGGGTTGGGTCCCACAAGGTCCCCGTGGCTGCAGCGACCCTCTGGGCCCCACATTTTTAACAGCCTCCGGCGTCACAGGAAGGGGAATGGGATATTCATCCAAACCGCCAGCATCTACCAGCAGCTTTCACAAGGCAAAGGCACTTGTTTTCTGCTGGCCTCAGCACTGACAGGATAGAGAGGCTTTTCAACGCCGCTGCAGCCCTTCCTGGGTGAGAGTCACGCTATTCAACACTTTCTTCACTGTGGCTAATAGCAAAGAAATATACACATATATTAAAAAAAAGCAATGGGAAATGAGAATATTCCAGATGCCTTGGCAAAGCACAGACAGGAGATGTGCTGGGAACGAAAGCCGAGCCATCCCTGGCATGAGGATGGCTGGAAACCCCCGGGAGAGAAGCAGCCCGTGCTGGGAGCGGGCAGCGGAGGAGCAAAGCGCTCCCCGCACGGCTCCACGGAGCCTCCCAGCACCCCAGGGCCCTCGGCCCGCAGCGCGGCGGCGAGGACGGATGGCGCCCGCAGGACCGCGGCTTCAGCATCGCCCCAGCTGCTTCCCGCCACCGGCGGGGAAAACAGGCCAGGAACACACCACGCCGCGCCCCACGCAGCGCCCCGCGCGCTCGGCCTTCCCCGGCCCAGCAGACACCCCGCGCAAGGGCTGATCTCACCGCTCCTTCTCCAAAAGACACAAGTTCTGCTGAATGTTTTATCAGCGTCCAGCTCTCTACCCAAGAGGAGGCAGGGCAGAGTCTTAGGTCGTTGATAGCTGCTATGATCTTTATTTTCTTCTGTAAACCCGGAAGAGTAAATAGCAATATTATTATTGAAAACAGTAGTGATTTTCTTCGGTATTTTCCACATGCTTATAAAGGACTTGGAGAAAGTACGGGAAAGATGTTATGTAAGAAAAGAAAGTGCAGGGCCTCGTCCAAGCCGCATCAGAGGGCTCTGGCCCGTGGCACCGCTGCTCCTGTCCTATGGC